GAAACTTTGTCCAGAGCAACCATTGCAGGAGCATGATGTGCAAAATTCTGTAAAATATTGTGAAAGACAGTGCTGGTGAGCCAGCTATAATTGTTATCATGTGAGAATTCTGAGCATATTTCTTCAGTCAACCTTTTCAGACATCTACTAAAGGTTTTCGCAACCTTTTTCTAATAGCTAGTGAGTTCAAAAGGTAAAATACGATACAATGCAAGGCTACTAAATTTAATTACAATAATCCCAACCGGCAGGCATTCTCCATCATTGCTTTTGTAAGTTGCTCATTTTGTCTCTAATACCGGGTTCTCTTGAGCAAAACAAAATCTCATTCTACGTAAGAAATTCCTTATTGACCACAAATACATATATATTTAGAAACATCAATAAATACCAAGGCTTTCAGAGAAGAAAAATCAGACTTTCCTGCGCATCATATACAAAGCCGGATTACTTTTGTTGAGCGGCTATCCTCCACAAAATCTAGTGGGAAACCTAATTTTCAAACTCAATAATTACATTACAAATAAATACAGTTAGTTAGCCCCGAAGGCATGCATCAATCATTACTAGTAGGGCTGGACTTTTCTCTAAAACAAATTCTAAAAAATTGCACTAAATGGACAATCTGAAATACATAGAAATTTAAAACATGATATCTTTTTTTCCGGAGGGTGAGATATTGGCGTTGCATCACTTCTCTAGATCAGTGTTTTGGGGATGAATGAGAAAGATTTAGAGGCAAACAAGTAGTCTGTTTAGACTGGACGGAATTCAAAACTATTACAAGAATCATCGTACAGCACAAAAAGAGAGGTACAGACTGAGTAACAACATTGTTTAAAAGCAACGTCATACTGAAAGCAACTAGTTTTGAAGAGGTCAGTTCACACGACAGCAGTGAAAAAAATATATGGGGGCTCAGGGCGAAATAGCCCCCGAAATGCCCAAAAGAGCCCCCGAAAATCAGAAAAGAGCCCCCTTAAATTTGCATAGAGTTCAATGCAAAACAAATTTTAAAATGTTATTTTCATACAGGCAAGGTTGAAAAGTAGCCCCCGAAAAATAAATATTAATTTTTTCCCTGCACGACAGCTAGCCAGTCATCAGTGAGCGCTCATAGTCATGAGACCCGCCCAGTAATACGATTTTTATACAACACGACGTTCAGATGAGAGCGGGACCCTGTTTCTTTATCAAGCTTTTGTTCAAAGCGGTGCTCTCACATGGGTCTCACTATTCTTTTTGTTATACATTTTGTTATATGATGTCCAGCCTACAGGTGAAGTGCAAAATCAATTACTAAATCGTATAATCATACAATGAATATACCGGTAGGTAAAGTGTAGTCTGAACGGGGTATAAGTGTGGATTATGCATGTGGTTTCAGCTCTTTGTTTGACAGTATTCTTTGACTGATAAAGGTACATGTCCTTTCCAAAGAAACAAGTAGCATTGTCATGATGAAATGATGGTTTTACTTGTACATGCACTATTGAAACAGTACTGAATAAAGTTTCTCCCTCTACTGACATGCAAATAAAGTAGAGATGCCTTATGCTACAGTCAAACCTGATTTAGCAACCACCTGTCTATAAAGGCCCTTTTGCCCCCTTGAAAGGGAGGGGTAAGAGCACATTTTTTTTATTTTTTATGCTCCCGAATATTTGATAATCGCCCCGGCCGCATATTCGCTCAGTTGGGGGAGGGTAGTGCGCGCTAATTTTTTTTTTTTTTTTTTTTTTGGGGGGGGTCTCTGTTTGCCAATACGTTTTTTGCGAATTTGGGGCTGATTCCAACATTTTTTTTTTGGCCGGGGGCCACATACTCCCTGTGCCCCCCTGGATCCACCACTGGGTGCTTTATGAATAACTTTTGTTTCGCTTTTAAAAGACTTTTAAGAATACCCTTTTATATAGAATACTTCCACCTGTAATCTGTATTGAATGCACTACTTGTGGATACATGAATGACTCCACAACTTTCATAGGCTCGTATCCAGCATTGTATGATCTCAGTTAATATTCCCATTAGGCGAGGCGTCAAAAATAAATATACAAGCCAGCGGCAGCTTACTGCACTTGTGCGTCCTGGCTGCATTTTTTAAATTAGCTCAGCCGGCTACCGCTGGCGGTAGGAAATGGCATTCAAAAGCATGCGCCGGCTGCCGCCTTTTGAATGGAAACCGAGCCTCAGATCCCAGCCTGGCGCAAGCCGGCTGGGCTAATAAGTGAAAAATAATTGCCCCAGCCAGGCTTCGGCCGTAATTGCAGCCTCGATGCGCCAATACGTGAGGCGGCAGCCTGCTGGTATCGATATTTTTGACGCCTCGCCTTACATAACAATGAACTTACCCTCTTTGTGTACAAAATGTTAAAGGTGAAATTCAAAGAAAATCACAAATATGTCAACTAATGTATCACTAGAAACTGGTAAACTAACAAATGGCCATCGTACAAGTTTTAGGTCAACTACATATCGGGTGATTTATAAAAATACAAATACAACCACCTCCAGAGCAGCTGGGATATACAAGAGATTCGCCGGAAAAATAACGATGTTTTAATGACGTCACTATATGGACCAATACTGCCCACGCAGACGACATCCCATAAAGAATGAACATAATTGCAAAGCTATTATTTTTCAAATTATAATGAGTTTAGTGTATATAAATGTAATGGCATGTCAAACCATTCAAAAGGGGATATGACCCGATTCTGATAACTAAAATCGTTTGCTTGTAAATACACAGGATAGGGGTTAATTAATAATCAAAGAAACCAGACTTTCAAATTGAAAACCCCCGGAATGATATTAAGGATGGCATTTGTTCCCTCTTGAAACGCTGAACAGACCACGTTGTGTGCAGCTGAATATACAATGGTGTCTTATTTTGTTTACAAGCGACAGAATCCTTTATTTTTGTATCGCTGCATTTGTCATCAAAATAAAACCATGCACTGGGTTTAGAGTGAGGCAATAGATTATACATTTAGCCTGACAGTAGTGAAGTAAGGGAAAGAACTCAAGAGAAGATGAAAACACAGGCACTGAAAATGTCTGAGATGTTATGGGATATTGTCTGCTTGTGCAAATCATGTCCATACTGTGATCTCACACATCTCAGCAGCGTTCGGAGAGCGTTTCAGGTGCTATGCCGGGGCTATATTTAAGCGTTTTGTAATTTATAATAATCATTACTTTGAATGCTTCCTAGCATTGAATTTTGATAACCTTGTCTATTCAAAGTTTCAACTTTGCAATCATGGGTGTCGATCCCGGGGGGGGGGGGGGGGGGGGGGGGGGGGGATGGGGGGATATATCCCCCCCCAATATTTCAGGTGGGGGGGATGGCCTGTACAATCATCCCCCCCAATAATTCACCATCAGAAAAAAAAAAAAAATGAAGAGAAAAATTAAGGATGAGAGCCCGATGAGAGTAGTTAATGGTTATTACTCGCAAGATGACCATTTTGCTATCTCATTTTCATAATACATACATGTATACAAAGTAAATAAGACAACCGTATATGAGACAAGAATAAATTGAATTCTCGCTCATACGGCTTCATCAGGAATTGATGAATTTATTCAATTTGTTCAATCAACAGCATCATAGAAATGCAGTGCGCCAAATGCAAAGACGCAGCGTCAAAAAGCAACGAGCTAAATGTTAAGCGCGAAGCGCAAAAATAGCAATCTGCAATGCACATCAGACAATCCTGGACAGTGTAAACATAGATGAACTCTGTGACAAATTTGTGATGAGATCGGAGACAAGGAGAAAGATTTTCGGACATTAGTATGACTTATAAAATAGTTCTCTAGTTGTTATGTTGTTTCCGTTCATCCTTTTTAAAATTCACGTCATTGTATCTTTATTTTTGTTTTTTTCACTCATTTTATATCCTGATATTTCCTAAAAGATTTTTCATTTTTGGAGAAAGATTATTATGTCACAACTTATTTGTAACACAAATTATTTTCAGTGGGAAAACTGAGTTCAGACAAGGATTAATATAGAGAACAGTACAACGAATCGTCTTCTTTCTCTAATAATTCAGTGAAAGGGCAAAGCTGTTAGGGGAGAACTGAATTCAGACGTGGATTAAGCGTAATAATCAAATGAAACGTCAAAGTACACGATACAACGAAGCGTCTTCTTTTACGAATAATTTAATGAAACGTGAAAGCTTCCGCGCTAAGCGCGGAATGGGCGAAAATGAATACAGACAAGAATTAAGAGTAATAATTTATTGAAACGTTAAAGCTTCCGCGCTTTGCGCGGTAGAGGGAAACTGAGTTCATGAAGGACACGATACAACAAATCGTCTTCTTTCACTAATGTGAAAGCTACTGCGCTTCGGGTCGAGAATGGTACATACATGTAGGATCGTCTTCTTTCTTTAATCATCTAATGAAACATCAGAGCTTCCGCATTACGCGCGTGGAAGGGGGAATTCGATTCAAACATTAAGGATTAAGAGTCGAGAATGGTACATCGAATCGTCTTCTTTCTTTAATAATCTGATGAAACGTCAGAGCTTCCGCGCTATGCGCGGAGGAAGGGGAACGTGATTCAAACAAGGATTAAGAGTCGAGAATGGTCCAGCGAATCGTCTTCTTTCTCTAATAATTTAGTGAAACGTCAAAGCTTCCGCGCTTCGCGGGGGGGGGGGACTCCCCCTCCCTGCATGCAACCCCCTAGGGACCGCGCTTCGCGTGCTCACTACCGCCCCTAAAATGAAATCCTGGCTACGCGCTTGGGAGGGGTGCAACTTGCCACACGCTTCTACCTCTTGATTGCCTTGATCCATTGCCGAAAATATTTTGGCACCTATCATCCCCCCCAACCACGGATACAAATCGACACCCTTGTTTGCAATAATGAAAATAAAGTTAGTTTTTTAAAATCAATGAATATGTACTTTAAAACAAAATAGCTTAGAAAAATTTCCTGCAATCACATAACCATTTCCCATGGGAAAGCATCCACTTACCGGCTGTATTCCATAGAGGACACATTCCCTGCTGTATTGGGGTACATTGAGCTGGAACGGTGTTGGGTTGATTCGATCAAAAGGCAGTGATTCTGAGTTTCCAAAGTCAACATACTTTACCTGTTTGTGAAAAGCAACAAAAAATAAATTCTTGTGATTAAAAAAATACAAATGCATGATTCTGTTAAGCCCCACTGCACTACTTAAAGCTACTTACGCCCTCTAAATAGCCAACAATGCCTAAGCGTTACACGTTGATCCCCCATGATCCTCTTTCTCTTATGTTAATTGAGAGCTGAGTTGATGAGATAGCCACCTGTCAGTAACCACGCTGGGTGGTCTCATCCCTCCTGGCCAAACTAGTGCAGAGGGGCTTTAAAAAAAGTCTGAATCTGATGCTTTATGGATTAGAACATAGCTTAAATAAATCCAAATTTTCGTATTTTGTTAATGGAGTGAGACTTGATGGAACCTACCCTGACAGTATATTTCATGATACCAATGAGCTGTGCCCTTTACCACTGGCCATTTAATGTGAATTTAAATACCACACAGACACAGACATTATAGAAGGAAGCTATCCATCCGAAATTGCAGCTCTGTACCACTGATTATCTTGGGTAAATCTATCACAAACCACAAAAACACACTCTGCAAACTAATCTAAACCAAATGTGTTTTTGGTGATATCGATGATTGTCCGAGGTGGATCAAGCAAAATTCCATGTAGACACCTCCCCCTACAGTACACCCCCCCCCCCCCCCTCCCTTCAAACACACAAGCATAGTTCAAGGAACCTACCTGAATAGTGTGTTCTGCAGGGATGCCAACCTTTCAGAGCACAAATCAGTAATCATAAGGAGAGGACCGACTCACCCGCCTAGCTAGTTTGAGCGAAACTACTTCATGATGAAAAGCCATAAAAGCACCAGGGTTAAAGCCCCTGCCTCTACTAATTTGCCACTTCTTTCCGGGGGCCTACAGAGAGTAGTGCAACATGACGTGCCAACTCCAAAGCCAATTGGAAGAGATGGTGTTGATAAACCACGGAAAAGAGATGCTTTACTAACAACAAAAAAGACAATTGGAATAGGAACCTGGAATGTGAGAACGCTACATCAACCAGGGAACCTTGAAATCCTACTTCACCAACTAAACAACTTTAAATGGGAGATAGTAGGTGTATCAGAAACACATTGGACTGACAAGGGAGAGTTTACCTCTGAAGGGTACAAAACACTATGCTCAGGAAATGAAACTCTACACAGAGGGGGTGTAGCACTGATTCTGAACAAAACAGCCCAGAACTCACTCCTAGGATATCATCCTATTTCATCCAGATTGATCACTGCCAGATTCCAGACTCAAGCAGGTGCCATCACAGTGATCCAAGTTTATGCCCCAAATACAGCTGATAATGAAGAACTAGTAGACAAATTCTATGACCAACTTCAAGAAGCAATCAATTCTGCACCAAAGAAAGACATTCTGATAGTGATGGGGGATCTAAATGCAAAAGTGGGAGACAGTTACTCACAATGGAAACAAGTTCTAGGCCAACATGGGTTTGGAAAGGCAAATGCCAGAGGAGAGAAACTACTCAATTTTTGTGCAGCGAATGATCTTGTTATCACCAATACCATGTTTAAACAAGCCAAAACAAGTAGAAAATGGACATGGGAATCACCTGATCAAAAGACTCACAACAAGATAGACTTCATAATGATTAACAGCAAATGGAAAAGCTCAATCAACAACTCCAGGAGTTTCCCCAGTGCTGACATAGGCTCAGATCACCAGTTAGTCATTGCAAACTTAAGACTGAGATTTAAAGTTAGAGGAAAACCCAAGTTTCTAAAGCGATATGATGTCTTCAAACTCAAAGAAGCAGACGTCCGCTCAAATTATGAAATAGAAATTGGAGGAAGGTTTGGCCCACTTCTAGATGATGAAAACACAGATGTGGAAAATCTATGGGAAGGCATCAAGTCAGCATACAACGAGACATCGACCAAACTTCTCGGAAACAGAAAGAGTCAACTTCAGGACCCTTGGATAAGCGAGGAGGTGCTCCAACTAAGTGACCAAAGGAAAAGGGTTAAGCAGGAGAAGTTAAGTGATCCTACAAAGAGAGCCCACTATAATTTCCTAAACAGGGAAATAAAGAGAAAGACAAAAGGATGTAAGGACAGATGGATTCAAGATCTATGTAAAAAGGTTGATAAGGCACACCAAGCAGCTAAGTCCAAAGAAGTCTACTCAACAATCAAGAAACTCACTAGGAAACCAAATATCAAGATGCAAACAGTAAAGAGCAAAGATGGACAAGTACTGACAGAGATAGAGGATGTAAAAAGGAGATGGAAAGAAAGTTATGAAGAACTTTATAACAACCAGAATCCCATCAACAAGGATGCAACTGAGGGAATTGCACAGATGACTAGTATGGAGGAAGAGCCTGAAATACTTAAAGAGGAGGTCATTAGTGCTATCAAAAGGATGTCAGATGGAAAGGCCCCAGGCTATGATAGTATAACAGCAGAGGAGTTAAAAGCATCCGGAGAGAGTGGCACTGACATCCTTCACAAACTCTGCAACCTAATCTGGAGAAAAGAATCTTTCCCAACTGACTGGGGCAGAGCCATTATAACACCTATATTCAAGAAGAAGGATAAGCTAGATTGCGGAAACTACCGGGGAATCAGCTTACTTAGCCATGCAGGAAAGATATTTGCATCAATCCTTCAACGAAGAATCCTGAAGAAGACAGAGGAAATTTTATCAGAGTCCCAGGCAGGTTTCAGACCAGGGAGATCAACCATAGACCAACTGTTTACTCTAAGACAAATTGCAGAAAAGCACCTTGAAAAGAACAGAAGTCTGTTTTGCTGTTATATAGACTTCGAGAAGGCATTCGATTCAATATGGCAGGAAGGACTTTGGAAAGCTATGAGATTCTTTGGCTACTCCAATAAGACAATCTGTCTCCTAAAAGCACTATACAAAATCTCAGCTAGTGCAGTCAGGGTAAATGGCGAACTTACAGACTGGTTCCCAACAACTGTGGGTGTACGCCAGGGCTGTGTATTATCACCACAGCTATTCAACATCATCCTAGAAATGGTTATGTTACATGCCACCTATGACACCCCTATTGGAATAAACATCCAAGGCCATCTGATCAACAACCTCCGCTTCGCAGACGACATAGTTCTTCTTGCATGCAACGAAATAGATCTCCAGTCCATTGTAGATTGTGTACAACAGTGGAGCTCAAACTTTGGCCTCAAAATTAATATTGCCAAGACAGAGGTCCAGGTCATCAGTAAACAGCAGCAAGACATTAACATCAGCATAGGTGGAACCAAACTACTACAGGTGGAAAAGTTTGTTTACCTGGGAGGTACCATCACTCAATCAGGAAAATGCACAGAGGACATAAAGAACAGAATTGGAAAAGCCCTGGGTGCTGTTCAAAGTCTTCACAGCATATTGACAGCCAAAGACATTAGAGATGTTACAAAACTTCAACTATATAAGGTACTCATCCTATCCATCCTTATGTATGGATCAGAAACATGGACACTGAAAAAAGAAGACGAGAACAGGCTCCTTACCTTCGAAATGATCTGCCTCCGAAAAATCTTGGGGGTAACCAGACTAGACAGAATAAGGAATACAACAATTCGGAAGACTCTAGGACTGGATGAAACCATTCTGGACAAAATAGCCAAAAAACGGCTACGATTCTTTGGCCACGTTAACAGGATGAGACCATCACGATACCCAAAGATACTCCTAACTTCTGATATCCATGGTGATAGACCCCGGGGCAGACCAGCCAAGAAATGGATAGATTGTGTAAAGGCCGATTGTGCTACTAGATGTCTGGGATCCCTCACAGAAGCGACCAGAACATCACAAGACAGGAAGATCTGGCTTGACGTCATGAAGCAGAAGCCATCACACATCTCCCAGATGGTGCGGAAGGCTTAGGTCAAGGTCAAGGCTAAAAATCAGTAATTTTGAGACAAAATCAGTAATTTTCTGCGCGACGCAAATTTTTCTGCACGCTGGCAAGCGCAGCTCCCGCAGGCAAGCGCGATAGCACAACAAGTTAAATAAAAGTAACATACATGTACCTGTTCATTAGTTGGTGTTACATGTGCATGTAACTCCATATTAAAAGTATTCTACTGAAAGACTGGATGAACTCATGACAAAATGTCTTGATATGTTACTATAGTCTTTTGCCCCGCCATGTCCAATGTTGAAATCTGATAAGCACATTCATGGGGCACTAGAGGGCGCTTCGCGAGCGTACGAAAATCTGAATGGCCTTGCTGCGGTGGGTCGGCAATAATCAGCCCAAAACTTGGATATGGGAGGGTGGAAGGATATATCTTTTTTATAATGTTATCCGGTCTTACCCCTAACCATCCTATGTTTAATCTATGTAGAAATAACATGCGAGTACGATAAGAGAAACATCGGGCCCATTACTGATGCAACTTTTTAAATATTAGCCTAGAAATGACCACCAAACGGAAAAAAATGACATTTTTTTCCGACAAATCTTCATAAAATCTGAGTTATAAACAACTCACAACTAGGCTCGGTAATGCAAATATGATTTTCTGAAAATTCAGGTGTGATTTTTTAAGTTTCTTTCAAGTATATTTCTGCGCATCGCAGCGCAAATTTCCTTCACTGCTTCAAAATCACCCTTGAAAATTGTTTTTGCAACGAATTTGATACGGGGTCCGCGAGTGTTCCCCGTTCCTTGCGTGTTGAAAGTTTGGTAATACAAAGTTTGCATTGACTCGCGCACAAAAAAATGGCTCAAAAACAAATGTCAAAACGAGAAATAAACAAGCTTTTGTATAGTTATAAGAGATCTACCGAGGTTTCTTTGTCGATATAATTTATTATATAGTCTCAATTAGAATTCAGAATTATCTCACTGAAACCGACGATGTTCTCGATCGTAGTTATTTTCACTTTGCCAGCAGACGTTCTAGCGTGGTTTTGGCAAAAAGCTAGCCCGCCACCTTCCCACCTCGAACCTTTCGAGTTCCGCTAAAATTGTGCGCTGCGGAGCTCCGAGGGTGCGTTGGTATCGCTGCCAAACTCTCGGGCGGCTAGCTCCCCACGACGGACCACTCGCGGTATGGCGAGAGTGTGTGTGTGAGATACGATTTTGGATTCGAGAACGCACGTACCACAACCGTGCGCGTCATTTTCAGCTGTTGAATGTCTACGACCAATTTTACATGTACGATTTTTAGTACAGATACTTGGTCAGTTTTCTTCTTATATCTTTGGTTTTACAACATTTAAAAATATAATTTCTTCAAATTTTCTCCTGACTCGGTTCAGACTATGTGTTTTCAAGTCAATTTCTTGAATATATTTTTTTGCATGAATTTGCCTAGAGCTACTGATGCACATATCGTGCACCTAGCATGATTCAGGCTTTTCTTTGAAGGAACGATGCATTTCCATTTCTTACTGTATTCTTCTTTAAAAGTCTGTAACTTCTTGCCACGCTTCTTAGTTGTGGAAGACATGATGATTGATATCTAAATCCAACCAACATGAGTTCAGATTGTCGACGAAAATCGACGAACGCTGTGACAGCCTGTGAAAAATCCGACAGTGTACACGGCGCTAGCGTAGCGAGGCCTGGCGCTGGCCGCGCTGTAGCGGCGCGGCCAAGAGAGGTATTTCACCTGGCCCCCGCTCGCGAAGCTGTCTTTCTCTGCTGGGCACACACGCACACAGTCAGAATATACAAAGACACACATGTATGCACCTGCACTGTGAAAGGGGTGTGCTAGATAACGAATTGTCCAATCGGAAGCCCTATGGGATTTCTATGCATGGATTCAAGGATGGCTGCGCTGCAATAGTCAAAAGTACGTGCTAAACCTTAAAGTGCTAATTTTGAAAATCAGCAAAATCTGCAAAATCCGGGATTTATGGTATGAAAATCGTACCGCCCGTAATCGGCCGATTTCCCGTAGAAATTACGGGAAATCCGTACTAGTTGGCATCTCTGCTTCTGTGATACCGATGATCTTCGCCCTGTGCCACTGTTCATCTAGGGTAAATGTATCACAAATGAATGAAGCAAAAGTACATTTGCCCCCCCCCCCTTCTTTCAGACACACAAACATAGTTCAAGGAACCTACCCGAACAGTGTCTTCGGTGATACCGATGATCTTTGCCCTGTACCACTGTTCATCCAGGGTGAATCTAGCACACACGCATTGGCAGAGGGAGAGGGAGCTGGGGTCTGGAGGACTACGCTTCTGGCTGTTACAGGCTACTTGCTGGGCAGCCATCATCTGCTGAAAGTCTTCAACTGTAACAACATAAAAAGTACAGAGACAGAGAATGACAATGCTATCATATTATTGAATTTGTGAATTTTCTAATGTCGTATATAATCTGTACTTAATTTCTGTATTGGCATTACATTTGCTTGTGCCTTTCCTTGATATATTTTGTACCGTTTATCCTTGATTTATTACTCTCTTTATTTGTCCTTATGCTATATTATTGAGTGCATCAGTTGGTTGGGCGGAGGGACCTTTACAGTTACAGCGATTAAGTTTGCTCTCCTCTTCCCTGGCCCCCATCTCTTGGACTCAGAATATTGCTACAAAAATGTGTATCTGTATCATTTTTGTCATTCTAATTTTGTCATCACCTTGATTATATTGTTTCATTGTTACAAAGTGCAACATAAATAATAAATAATGAATAAATGAACATGGTCAAAATTAAAGTTAACAGTTACTTTGTTATGCAGAAAGATTATTAAAATATATTGCCAATGGATAAAATATTTGTTAAAGTACCAAAGGTATCAATGGCGCTTTCTGCAGCAATCGAGCAGCAGTCGTGGATTTTCTAACAGGGGTTAAAGTAACCAATCTACTACACGATTCACAATATATTCCTTTATTTTTATTTTTGAATGCTTTTTCCAAAAACTTTTAAAAACAACACAAGGCTACTAAATTAACATGTAGATTAGATTAGATTAGATTAGATTTTACCTTGTAGAGCAACCCCTTTACCCTGGGGGCATTTAAAGACTGGTTGGACTATTTTACCAGTATTACAGAGAAGCACCTGGTATCATGACTTACATCTATCCACGTCTAGTCCATGGATGACTGCATTGTCGCTCACAAAGGTGATGATCAGCTGTAGCTGGGAGAGCGTCGGCAAGGGCGGGGCTGGATACTGGGGGAGTATCTCCTGGATTCCGGTCCCCTCAAAGTTCTCATATTCGTCCAGGAGCAGCGCAGAGTCGGCGGGCATCGCGGGACACCCTTCATCGGGCATGGTGGGGCCGTCCAGGGAGGTGGGAGAGGCGGTGGTATTGAGGGAGCTTACACCACTGCTTTGGGGTGTGACAGGGGCAGAGTTCATTTTGGGACTCAAAGTGGTGGTAGTGGTGGTAGGGTGGGAGGATGGCGGTGTTTGGGCTGTAACATGAGGAGTTGCAATATTCTTGTGAACTTCTGGAGTTGACACCTTTCGCCTGTAGAGAGAAAATAATGAATTTAAAACATGATTTTATATGTGATATTATCAGTTTTCTGATTCTTGGACAATAGATCTAGCAGCTGTTGGAACTGAAATTACAGTTTTCGGAATAGTGAAAGAATTATTTGTCATGCTTCTCAGATGTCATTTTGATTATTTATAAAACTAGACATGCATATGACCTTGTACAGTGTCTTTAATCACTTACCAACACATCACCATCTACAAAGTAGTTAACAATGTTTTGATGGTAATATTTCTTTTGTCATAACTTTGAAGATCCTCCTGGCAGGTACATGATGTACATTAGTTTCCTAGTATTCTTTAAAAAGACGAGCTATTCCACTGCACAGTCAAAATGTATGCCTTCGCCATCCGTGCAAATCCCTCTTCTGCACATTTCACCAGAAGATTATTCATAAATGTAGTTGCTGTAACATTTAATAGCAATAAATACTTACTTCATCCAAGTTTGGTTTGAATTGGTTTGATGCTTTAATATCAAGTTATATTTTTTAGGAGTTTTTAACACTGTAATGACAGTGTGACCTCTTACACCTCTTACACCTCTTACACCAAGAATCTAATCGGTTCATTGTTGATTGTTCATACACCCTTCATCCAAGTTTTGTTAAAATTTGTTCAATGATTCTTGGGTTATCGCTGTAACGTAAAGCAGGACCAACAACCCGAAAGCAAAATGCCTCTGGCAACACTTTCGGTGGTGGAGATATAATTTTTTTTACATATTTCATAATCGTTCAAGACTTGTCCTGAGCAACCACAATGAAAGTCAACTAATGAGAAGTATTCCATTCCAAATAAAATCTACTCAGCAGAGCAAAAAAATATGTTTATGTTTGGGTGACTGTTGAGTGACTAAGCTTACATTCAATCAGGGCAAATCTCACATTTATCACGCCCCACCCTCTGTAATTTTTTGTTATACAAGTTAAGATAACCATTTACCTTTTTCTTAACGCTAAGCCTTTCTGAACAAGGAGCTCAGCGATGCTTGCTAAATCTTCTGCAGACTCTCTCGCTACTCTCTCTTTATTAGTCAGCTCATAGAGAAGGTCTATCGGGAGAGAATTCTTCTCAATGTCACCCTGAGAATCAGAAAAAAGAAACAAGGTGATTTTCAAAGGAACATCTTTGTCATAATTTTGTACAAAAAGTAGCATCCTTCATTATGTCCAACTCCTCAAGAAACCGTCTATGGATATCTTTGTCCTGTCTTCTTACATATCCAGCACATCAGGCCATTTATAGAGTCATAAACAAATACCTTTAAAATATCCATGCAACTTTCAAGAGAGATCTTTGTACTACCTCATCCTGAAGGTAGCACTTTCTTAGAGGTAACACTTTCAAGAAACATATATTTTTTAAATCATGTATTTATTTTTATGGATTTAACTCTCATTCACAAAAGCATCCCTACCTACATTATCTTTCCTTATTACTTTCAAAAGGTGTCTTCAGCTTACTTCATTCAAAATGTAGCATTATCGCAAACATATAGCAAACAATGCTAATCAGTGACCATTGGTCCCCAATGATCCCCTTTTTCTTATGTTAATTGAGAGCTGATTTGATGAGATAACCACCTGTCTGTGACCATGCAGAGAGGTCTAATCCCTCCTTGCCCAACTAGTGCAGATATGCTTTAAGTGGTACTTTTGACATACCTTTTTACAGATGTAGCACTCAAGATCGTTCAGCCTTTCTTCCAAGAAGTCACAGGACGTCTTGGTCCACTCTGCCGTGCCTCCCGCAGGTAGGATGTCCACCAGGTGACATCGGATGGCGAAGGGAGCTTCCTTCTGAAACCGCTCGTCAAGGGCGCGGATGTTGGCAATGGAAACCACTTCTTCGTTACCGTAGTCGGTGAATAGAACCTTGAGGAAAGGAGGCAAGTGATGGCAGATTGTGATTGCATGAGTGAATGTCTGGAGGAAAGGTACTGCCCCTTGAAGGGAAATTCTTTCTGGACATTGGGCGGATGTTGGCGATGGAAACCACCTCCTCATTGCTGTAGCCAATGAACAGGACCTTGATGACAGGAGGCAAGACATCTCAGTATATGAAAAATTTGCGAACATAACTTGTGATCATACACAAAATATAGAACATTGTGTTTTGTTTTGATATTTTGTTTACATTCAACTGAGCATGAACATATACTAGCATGTTTGCAGATAAATCTTTTCTCGACTGCAACTCATCTCATTGTCTATTTCCATATACAAATAAGAATATACCATATAGATTGATGTACACACACAAAAAGTGTTGCTAATTCCACTGATATGCAATACAGTCATGAAACAAAAAAGGATGCAATATGTAGTAATTATTTGTGGTTGCTACTCGAGGCTTGCATCTGGCATATCTTTGAGGGCTCTGAATCAAAGATTATTGAGCCAAACCACAAAATGTGGAATGATTGTCACGAAAGGGTTATATGCCAAGGGGGTGAGAAATCCCAGGAGTCCATGGGTTAAGAAGAAGAGACTTACCACGGCATTATTATCAGGGAGCATACACTGTATCTTTCCTCGACACCAAACCCCTTCCCTGACTAACAAAGCACCACAGATCTCCCCTTCCTTCCAGTCCGTCTTCTCGCAGTCTCCTTCCTCCTTGTAGAATAGTGTCATGGACTCCAGTAAACTGTTCAAAGAAATATCAAATAGCTCATGAGGATTAAAGCCCGTCTGTACTAGTTTCGGCAGAAGGAATTAGACCACCCAGCATAGTCATTAACAGGTGGCTATCTCATCAACTCAGCTCTCAATTAACATAAGAAAAAGAGGATCATGAGGGACCAACAGGCACCTCTTAGGCATTGTTTTCTATATAGAGGGAGCAAGTAGCTACAGATAGTACAGTGGAGATTTATAACAAAATCAATCTAATAGCTAACACTTAATCAAAATTATGGATTTGATGTTGTGATTTCATTTTAACTGTCACTAGTATCCATATATTTGCATCCACTTTAGCTTCCTACACTATACTCATTCAGATATGACAAGGTGACCGCGTCGTTTAAATATAACAAATTATTAGGAGGATGTAGGTGTAATACGATTCACATTTCTGTATCTTGTAACATAGAGCTCATTGAATACGCATTGGATCTTTGTGGCATGCAATTGCCATTCCTTTACACGTAGAAATAAGCTGCGATGGTTTACCGCCACATATCTGAAAGAGCATTTAACAGTTTGTAGGAAGAAGTAGTTTTGCCTCTGTTTTGGAGGGTGGTTGTGTGGTGCCTGGTCACAATTATCAAAACAAGAATATTGAAGGAACAATTTCAATACACCATAATATTTACACATTTACAAAATTTTCTGATAAGATTTAAACTGTCCATATTCACCTGTCTAATCCATCTTTGCCAGCGGTGGAAAGTTGGACATAGATGCAAGAGGGCGCTTCAGCGTGGCTCACATGAACCGCCGTGTAGGCACTATACTTCCCAGAGAGCTGCGAAGACTGACCCGGAGACCTGCTACATCCTATGGTCACCGAAGAGCCTCTTGACGACCTAGCTGCGGTTGGAGTGGTTCTGGCTGGCTTGGTCTCTTGCGCTGCTTCTGTCGAAGGCACCTGCAGCATGGGTTCGGGTGATTTCAGAGGGGTTCCATCGGTTGTGGCGGATACCGATTCACGAGTGATCTTGTCCCCGCTGGAATCAACATGGTGTGTGTTATCTTCTGACGGAGTGGTGGTCGTGTCTGGCAAGATGGGTGTTGGCTTGGGAGAAAGTCCTCTAAGGATTTCTGCACTGACGGAGCTGTGGGCAAAGGGTAGGTAGAGTATGCACAGCAACCTCGATAAAGTGATATCTGAGGAAACACATCCACATCATGGTATACATACATGTACACTTAACTTTACTACAGGTTTTAGAGAGTCAATGTTAAATGAAAGGAGTATGACATTATCAAAATGTACATGTATATTTACAAGGTCTAAAATAAATAAGACATTTTAAAGAAGTTCAGGTCTAAATTGGGTTCCTTCACAATTAATCCAAATATATGAGCCTTAATAACTTAAGCCACATTGTGAATTTGCTGATAAGGTCATTTCGCAAGTTGTGCAACATGCCTTAGTTCATGTGAAATTTTAATAGTGCTTTTCTTTGGGGAAATATAGAATAACAAAGGACTTAAACCAGAGCTCATACAATGATTCATACAATGATTCACAGATGAAACGACTTACCCTGGACCTGTTGTTTCAGCAAGGCCTCTCTGGACGAGGAGAGCGTTCACACTGACCCGTTGACCTTCGACCTCATCGTAGGCTATCACTCGGATCACTCCCTCCTTCACATCTACACCCATAGTGAGGAATTTAAAAAAATAATTTAAATACAGTTATAAACTAAATTAATCACACCCTTACCAAGTATTGTAATTTTTTAAGTGGGTAAACAGATTGAATTGTCCTGATGTTTGTTTCTTGAGAATGTGACATATTAAAGCTAAGTATTCCATGAAGGTCCAAGTTCAACCAGTCTACCTTTCAATCTTGAGTTACGTGAAACACAAAAAAACATCAAATTTGCAAGGGATAACTACATGTAAATGCAACTGCACATAATTGTGGATATATCTTTAACACGTCTATTCGAATTCCCTCGAACTACATGCACATGCATGATACAGAAAATTTGACTTAATACACTTTCAAGTATTTGTACAGACACTAGCATGTAATGATAAAGATGTAAAAGCTGTAATTGACAAAACCCCAAAAATATTTAAAATTATTCATTTACCACATGATAACTACTTCATGAATCAACATTCTTCTGAATCAAATGTTTGCATTACAGCTTCACTGCTAATACTCAAGGCAATTTAATTGTTCCCAGAGTTGTATCTGAGATGCTAAGTTTACTCTTCAAGACATTTGTTAAAGCTACATAAAGCTACTCCCTGGAATTACCAACAACAAATAAACAGATAACAATCCACAGACTGTGTGCTCTTAGACTTGTCTATCCAGTCACGTTCTACCTTTGGCTGGATTCTTACCCATGACAGAGACATCTAACGGCTTGAAGCTCACACACTGAGAGAAGACTAACTTAGACTCGTCTGTCCAGCCTATCTCTTTGTCTTTGGGTGCAACGTCCACCAAGCCACATGGCAAAGACTGCAAATTGGGAATGAAAAGCAACCAAGAGACACATTATGAGGCTAATCATTTGTGAAGAGGACAATTTCAATTTGTCCTATTGGGCTTGGAAAGAAGATCGAGTTGCAGCAATCCTAATTTTGTATTGACATGTATGTGTATGTCTCCTAATCTATCCTTCCTTTATAAATAAGATGACGAGATGACGTACATCTCAGTACCGCATTGTGTGTGCATATATAAATCTCTCACCATGTTGATGAAATAAGACATTGAGCACAAAAAAAAAATCTTTTTATTGATCTTATGTGTGTAAGAATATTGTATTACATGTACATTGTATCTTTATTCTGATTACATAATCGCAACCGCAAACCTTTGTGACGTGACGTGAGAATTTCGCAAATGTCACAATGGCCATTTTCAAAGAAAAAAAATATCTCATTTTCAGTGTTGTGTCGGTTGTGATAATAAAACTGATTGCATTTTGCGCCATGAAACTTTCAAGTCTGAACCTCTCGCATAAATTGTGAAAATCTCAGGTATTACAGAAGGTAACTAGTGGACTCCTGCCTTGTCTCATTCCCACAGGTTTAGTAAAGGAATAATCCAATTCCTGTGGGCCATGGGTGATAAGGGAAATATCTTACCAGTCTGTAGAGCTTGAGGAAGTCATCCGTCATCTTCTTGAGTTGCGTGTAGTGTATGGTAGCCGTGTTACCATAGTCAACATACAGGACCTCCACTTGCTGCTTGCCTGCGGCTCCTATAGTAGAAATATACCACAACAAATCCTTATCCATTCACTTTATTTCTACGGCTAGTCCACTATACTTTGTCCAATACCTTTAAGCCCCACTGCACTGCTTATAGCTTCTTGCGCCCTCTATATAGCAAACAATGCCTAATCGATGCCTGTTGGTCCCCCATGATCCTCTTTTTCTTAGGTTGATCGAGAGCTGATTTGATGAGATAACAACCTGTCAGTGACCTTACACGGAAGTAGCATACATGCCAACATTTGAAAATCAGAAATCTGTACAAATTATGCTATTTTTTAAAAAAAGAGGAACAATCCTAACTCTCCTATTCAATACTACAGACAAATTTGTACAGGAAGAGGAACACCTGCATTAAAATGATAATTATCTTCTCCCAAAAAGAGGAATGTTCCTCTTTAATCTGAACAGTTGGCATGTATGAAGTATAATCCCCCCCCCCCTGGCCAAACTAGTGCAGACAGGTTTTAATTGACATCACCAAAATGTATAGTATATCTGACGATTCTATCAAGTTGACAGTCCAATACTGAGGTAAACATATTTTCTTGTTAATCTGACCTTTGAATGCCACATACATTAAAGTCAGATCATGAGAACTAATAAATATACAGCAGCAAAAGCAAAATTAACGAGGCAACCATTTGAAAATCTCCTTTTGGCGAGTTTTAAATAAAGACGCTGTTGTGGGAGTGGGAAGGATTCTAATAAAACAGTTAGACAATACACTTACTGAGGACTTCTCCACTGTACCACCTCTTAATCCCCTTCAGACCCCTACAGTCTTATCATCCACTGAAAGCTAATAAGGCATTCAGGGATATCACTAAACACTCTTCTTACCCATCTCTAAATGGGATAGTCATTGAGGATTTTTCCTTTGCAGCACCTCGTGAACTTGTCACTTGCCTCCTATCCGTTTACATCTTAAAGCCCCATTGTACCACTTATAGCTACTTGCTCCCTCTATATAGAAAACAATGCCTAATCGGTGACCATTGGTCCTCCATGACCACCTTGTTCTTATGTTAATTGAGAGCTGAGTTGGTGAGATAGCCACCTGTCAGTGACCTTCCTGGGTGGTCTAATCCCTCCTAACCAAACTAGTACAGATGGGCTTTTAAGGGCAAAAAGGCATTAGAGGATAGAAAGAGACTTACTAAGGACTTCTCCTCTGTACCATCTCTGGTCTTCTTGGAAGAAAGCCATGCAGACCAGACCAGGATGAGGGCAAAAGACCTGCCATTCGGGTCCAATCCTCTTGGCATAGTCCACCTGAATCTTCTCCATCATCTCATTCAGGTAGTCCACAATCTCCATCTAAAAATAAACAATTTAAATGGATATGGTAGGAAGTTTTCATTTGCAGTAGGTCAGTAACACAATCATCAACTGTCAAGATATCAATGGCTTAAATCGGACACCTAGTTTGTTTGTTTTTTGTCAACAAAACTTGTACATTTGAAGACCTTGTTATGTTTCCTTTTATTTGTTGGAATAGTTTTGGGTATTTTTAAAGCAAACTTGGACCCATACGTACATCTTACCCTGATTCAAAATAATAATAATAATATTAATATATTAATAATAATATTTTGCTTTTATATAGCGCTTAATACATCTACGGTGTCTCTATAAAGCGTTTTACTGATATACTATTACCCCGGTCATTGGATTCAATACTTGCCCGCACACACTGTGTGTACAATCTCCACTCCCTGGGGAGCATCCCAGCCAGGCGCAAGATTCAAAATGAAGCACGGACTACACTTCATTAATTAAATCATAAACAGTACAAAGGCATTATTATCATGTCACTATGGCTTACATCTTGAACTGAGAAGCATTGTGGATCTGTGATGTGGCTGACTTGCACCACAAAGTCGTCTCCCTTGCATGGTACAGTGGGTGGCAGGTACCTCTTGGGAGGCACTATGGCTTGAGCTATGAGGGTGAGAAATGAAAATAAATTTAGGTTAACCCATTGCCTATAGGAAGCGGGTGGTCCCTGTGTTAAGCCTATGGGAACTAAAGAACTCAGTAGTCGACAGGTTAAATATTGACTTCACATGACTAAAGGGGCGTGGCAAGAAAGTTGTGATTGATAACTGATATTTGCAATCGATTGCAACTCAACTTTCTTGCAACGCCCCTCTAGTCTCCTAAATTTTCTAAGATTTTTGTTAGGATTAAAGTTTTAAAAATTAGATTAAGTTAACTACATGTAGATTTAACTTTTATTCTCCCCCCCCCCCCCCCCCCCCCCCCTCTCTCTCTCTCTCTCTCTCTCTCTTACTAATGGGGCGTTGCAAGAAAGTTGAGTTGTGATTAATTGCAAATTTGCAATTAATCACAAGACTTACGCTTGATTTGGGGGATTTGCAATTGTACATTTCTTGCTCTTATACGAAACACATGGGAAATTATTCTATATGCGACTACTGAAATTAAATTAAAAGAATGAAATCAGAATATTGTAAGAGACTACCAATCTAGTGCAATAAAAAAAAAAACTTGGATGACACAAAGCTGACCAAACTGACGGGCAAATACTCTGTTTGGTTTTACCAATACCACATTTATAGGCACCAGACAATTCTTCTCAGTGTACTTTTACATCTAGAAATATAAGGGTGTGGCTTTTTACTGCTTAGTTAGTCCAGTGATTGGTCTGCATACCTTTCTGTCATCACAGCTATATAATGTTGCACAACCCATCCTAAGGGCTTCATTGAGATAGACTCTCTAAATTATTTTGGTTTAAATGTCATTTTGCTTGTAAAACCATCATGCCAAATTTGAACCACATACATGTAGTGTACTTTAAAAGAATATCTCTCTACAGTATGTTTGAAAACAATCAGGTTATCACACTTGCTTTGGAATTCTATGTAGTGAAGATGGTATGAATTTCCTACTTTCTCATTCTTTTCAAATCCAAAGCTGCTGAGAGAGTCTTGAGAATTAGTTACTTGTTCACAATCAGAAGAAAAATTACATGTTTCAGTAGCTATCGCTTGTCACGCAGCAAGCTTCTTCAGGCCTTTGTCATAGCTGGCACTGTGGCTGATTCAGTATGACGTATGACAAGACTTACCTTTTTATCACATTTATCGCACATGTGTGTAATTTTCTTCTCTGCCCCTTACCCCCCCCCCCCCCCCCCCCGAAAAAAAAAGAAGCAGATGTTGAAATTTATCTGTGATAGGTAAGTACTTACGCTTAGGCACAGACTCTGGCGATATGAAGCAAGCAAGTTCCAGAAAGACTAGGGCATCCCTCAGCGAGATGGGCATATCATCTTTGATATCATCGTTTGGTTGCTGGTGGAGGTCTACGTACAACACATTACCAACCTGCCCTCTTTGCTGTAATAAAAAAGATGGAAAATGGCAAATATTTGATTATTAAAATCATTGATATTGTATATGCTTCAGTTATACATGTAGGGTGCAACATTTAACTTTTAAGAGAAGAAAGATTTTCAACTTTAATCAAGGCAAGTCAAAGGTACATGTATTTGTTCATGTTGTGAACAAAATGTTTTAGCATAATGGATGATAAACATAAATTGAAAACAATTGACAAAAATAGATTATTTGATACATTTCGTGTGATCAAGGTTCATGTCATAGGTATCAATGGGACATACTGTACAGGTCACACACTGGACTTCAAAACTTCTTTGTTAAACAGGCATTATAAAACAAGATCAATCCTTTGGATATGATAATGTACAATATGTAATTGCATGATTTACACATGGAAATACATGTCCACAAGTAATCAGTATAAAAGTCCAACACAATGCTTAATACAAGGAAAAAATATTAAATGTCAGCCTTGATCATTTTCCTCCTATAAAACGTGCTACACAATCAATAAACTCAGAACTATACTGAATAGATACAGCATGGGAGGATCACCATCTGTCAATGGCACTAAAGTTCATTACAAATGCAATCTGTTATTCTTCTTAATGAAATATTGTTGTTGCAATCTATTGGTGGACAAAATTGCTGGTTACAGTCATGGGAGCTGCTATTGACACTTGCCAATTGACAATATCTAAATGATCTGATGGTCTTGGAGACATTTTGCCTGAGGTCTTTGCAGTAAGCATGATTTATCAACATTGAATTGTGTAGTTGATTTCCACTAATCTCAGTTTGTCATCCCTCTATCACTCCCTCTCGTAATGTTGTTTATGATGATAATAATGATACTACAGTACTTCCCTTGGACATGTTCTATTTCTATTCATTTTTAATTTATGCTTACATTACACGTATCTATTACACTGAGTTTTCACTCTTTTATATCTTTCAGCTTCAAGTTTCACTTTAACTCTCAGTTGGATAACATATGGAAGTTCTCAGTCTGACACAAAAGAAAATCTTCAGAATTCATTGATAAAGTACCTTGCTTCTAATCAATCTTTGATAGATACATGTACAGTATGTGTCATATGGGCAAAGGAATGCAGACTTGGATTTGAAATCATGAAGACACTGATGGCAACAACAATATAACTCAGCATGATACGGGTCACTGTTTCATGCATATTCTGTAAAGATATTTTGGATGTACCTGTACAACAGCAACTTCTGGTCTTCCCGTTTCTCTTCTAGATGGAAAAAAGGACTGTTTATCTCATAGTATTCCAGGCTAACACACCTTGACACTGTAGTTTTAATGGTGCAACTTATTTAAAATATTCCCATGATATCTTGGAATAATGAAAATGTCTATATACCGGTAGGTATAGAAATGGAATAGCAGTCTTCTTCAAAAGAGACACGTACCTCTACATCATATGCACTTGAACATCACCATTGTTAGGAAGTATTTAGATGATATAGATCTCTTTTTGATAATTCCTCACATCTGTGTCAGTACATGTATAACTTCTACCACAAAAGCATGGATAAGTTTCAAGGAGTTCCCATCAAATGCCAATATAAACTGAACTCTCTCGCCCTGATCATAATTGCAATCCTACTCGCACAATGTGAATCTAAGACACTGAAATTAACAGAAGGGGATGAGGCCGATCTGGACTTTCAATACCCATGTTTTAGCACAAGGGTAACCTTACGGATGGGAAACAAGGCCCCATTTTACAACTCCAATCTTGAAATAAACTCACATCCCAAGAGATACAGTGTTCAGGGTCAAAATGACACTGAAAGCGAAAGTTGTTCCATCCATCTTGCGATAAATCCTGTGACCAGAAAAGACGAGGGTACATGCATCCTTACTGTGTATCAAGGAGATGAGATACTGGATGAAAACACCAAAAGAATCGGGCTGCTTGTGGATTATCCACCCGGCAACGCATCGTGCGAGTTGAGCCACGAGTACAGAGTAGGGGACTGGGTTTCGCTGCATTGCACTGCCCCCGTCGGAACCCTTCCAGGCGAGATCAAATGCTTCCAACGTGGAATGAGGATCCCCCCTGTGGCTATGCCATTTCAGACCAACCAGGTCTTGGAGCAGACGTTCTGGGTGGTTAAGAGATCGTATCCTACGTTCTGCTGCACTTCGACGCAACAGCAACCCACGGAATTGTGCGAGTGCAGAGACTCAGTGTGGGATCCCTCGAATGACACAGAGTCAAATAGTGACATAAATCCTTGCCCTAACACAACACCAGATCCATCAAATTCTCAAATTCCAGAGAACTCTAACGAAACAATTAATGCACTTGCACAAACACCAACTAAGCACACTTCGAAGAATAGGTATCTCCTGACCATCTTCTGTATGTTCATACCGGTACTTCTAATTGTAATGATGTTTGTTGTGATTAGTGGTATTATTCTGTTCAAGGGTAAACGTGAAAGTCAGATGAAGATGAATAAACTCAAGAAAAAGAAGAGTAATAGCCAGGAAAAAGCAGTTTACATGAAACTTCCAACTGCATAAGGTTCCAAAGTTTGAATTCAAATCAATGCCACTTTTACACCCATTGCCTGTAGTAACCGAGGGATTGCAAGGCATGAGCAAAATGCAGAATGAGGTAATGAAAGGAATATTTAAAGTGTTGTCTTTAAACATGGTATGTAGTACTCAATCAGCTAAATAAAAATGTTTCTTATTTTCCCCTTCACTTTTTTTTATTTCTTATAAACCAAATCTAGAACCTAGACTCTAATTAAGAATGATGGATATAAACCAAATATACGCTGCCTATATTCAAGTGAAAATATCACTCTCGGCAACACCACACTACCATTGTCCTACGAGGCTGTACCCCTCAGCTTAAGAAAGTAGTTCTGCTCATGTCACTTCTGGTATCACAATTTCGAACATAGCTTCATGTGCCCTTTATTATGTGAAAGTGTTGTGATATATAGTGGTTCATTCATTTGAATATAATTACAAGGGTTGAGGTTTGAATCACAGCCCGGCACTAAGGTCCACATTTGCCACTCTCCATCCAGGTGAACATGGGTACCTGGAAATTGCTGGGGGTAATAACAATTGCAGGGCCCTCTGGAAGAGCAGCATTGGTGCTGATGAGGCTTCCCAGAGTAAATTATATTATTACTACTTTATTACTACCATACTCCTTATTTCAAATTTGTATCAACAAAATGATAACTCTAGTATGTTGGAGATACAGTACATGTAAATGTAAGTTTACCAAATGGAAACATTTTTTATTCTTGGATCTGATGACACAATATTTCATTATAAAATTTGCATCTGGCAAACCATATAAACTAATTTATGAAAGAGGATAGAGTTTTAATAAGTCAGTTTGATTTTCCTATTGAAAAATAATAACAATTTGTAATGTTACGTTATGCCTTGTAGGTAGGCCTACATATTCTGATTTGGATAAATAAATGGTCAAGAATCAACATGTCTATTTCTGTAATGGTGGAACCAAGTTCATTATATTTCTTGGATTTCAGTGAATGTGATGATTGTACAAGTGAATTAAAGTGAATGTGGTGATACTGATAACAAGGCAGCGAGAAAAAAACACAAGAGCGGTGAGCGATTTAGCTCTGGAAAAGCTACAAAATAGCTCTTGGTATTATGCTGAAAAAGAGCTCTGGTTATAAAACTTCAAAATATGTATAAAAAAAAAAAGTGCTCTTTTACAACACCAAATCCTACATAAGCTCCTGCAAACATAAATTTTTTTTTTTTACACTGTAACATACATTTGTACAAGCTTGCTATAACTATTTGAATTATGTACACTGTAATGTTTTCTATGAATCATTTTAGTAAACAAAATCTAAAGTGCATAATTTCTATGGACAAAAATATTTCCATAAACTAGTCACTTTGAAATGGAATCCCCATGCAGTAATTGCAATTTTGAAACAAATAAACAAAAAACAACAACAACAAAACACACTATCCTTATTTCTAGTACATAACAAATAAGAACAATCAGGATAAGTGCTTGCTGCTAATTGTTGTTTGATCGTAACTTTAAAAGTTAAGTAATTTATCCTCAACTGGAAGTTTCTTTTCGCTTTATACATGTATCTGTTTCTCTCTTTTTTTATGCTCAAACTTTTAACCAACTTGGTGAGCGGTAGTCTTACCCCAATAACCATTAGCAAATACAATCATACTTCAAGAACACCTTCGGACAAGTGATACAAATAAACAATGAATTATATGTACATGTATAGCACACAAAGCTTCTAAGTTCTAAACCAAAGGTACATATACAACTTTGTCACATGTGAATGAAAATATGAATTGGTTAATCAGCTACTCAGCAAGTTTCATGTTGACAAACTCTTGAAGGCAAGAAATTATCACAATAAAGTGTAGCAGCTGAGCAAACACAGCTGTATTCTAATGCACATGCATCCAAGATATGCTCAAGATGGAAACCAATTTATTACTATTTACTACCCCTTTTTATCATACAGTGCAAACATATGGTTACTTATAATTTTGTATAATAAAGTAAACATCTTCTGAAAAATACCTGGAAATATACAGGGAAATAGAACATGTGCATGAACTAAAACAAAATAGGTTAGGTACCTGTAATCAGCATGTGTTGATAAACTCTTTTATGGATAAAATTTCAAAATATAGAAAATTGTAGCTGAAGGATATTAGACAAAGACCTCAAGTCTCGGGACCCTGGCTACAAGAGTATGCAGTAAATAGTACCTGGGCTTTAGCCAAGCTGCCTATAACAAAGGCATATCTGAAAGCAATCACAGAATTATTATAAAAACTCTCAACCCAGGATGAGAATGACAAATGTTTGCTTTTCATCTGCAGAGCATAGAGAACACTCTGGTGAATGTAGGAAAGTTTGGGAGCTACAGTATACATGACAATAAGAGTTGTAGGCATGTATCGTTGGTCTGCACAACCT